CTATCCTTAGACGATGTGAGTATTGGTTTGCAGGGTGTCTTTCCGTCTACCCTTAGACGATGTGAGTATTGAATTTTTTCTTCGGAATTATGGGTGTCTTTCCGTCTATCCTTAGACGATGTGAGTATTGAATTTTTTCCTCGGGATTATGGGTGTCTTCCCGTCTGTCCTCAGACGATGTGAGTATTGAATTGATTTTTGTTCCTTCGGGATTACGGGTGTCTTTCCGTCTATCTTTAGACGATGTGAGTATTGAAGTTTTCCTTCGGGATTATGGGTGTCTTCCCGTCTGTCCTCAGACGATGTGAGTATTGAATTGATTTTTGTTCCTTCGGGATTACGGGTGTCTTTCCGTCTATCTTTAGACGATGTGAGTATTGAAGTTTTCCTTCGGGATTATGGGTGTCTTCCCGTCTGTCCTCAGACGATGTGAGTATTGAATTGATTTTTGTTCCTTCGGGATCAAGGGCGTTTTTCCATCTATCATTAGACGATGTGAGTATATTTCTCTTCCTGTCTATCAGTAGACGATGTGAGAAGATCAGATGTTTTGTTGCAACCTTCAGGTTTGTTATAAGTGGTATAACGCGGATAACGGGTGTTAAAATCAGGAGTTCTTTACCAGATGATTGATCAGTTTGTTGCCGTGACGGCTGGGTTCGATTCTGGATTTTATTCCTCAAGCAGTGTTGCAGTATATTCCCGCGGTTGGCAAATTTTAGGGTTTCATTGGTATTCAACCGTCATCTACCTTTGAATGTTTGAAGGCTGAGCGCTCTTCAACCATTCAGGTCCAAGCCGCTTGAATAGGGGCAGCTGTTGCACCCCAAAATTTGACCAACCGGGTCCCGTATCTGGCTCTATGTTTCGACGCATGACTGCATTCGCATCTGCATATCGCATACAGTGCATTTGTCATTTGTTTTGATTTTATCGGGATCAAAGCTCTCGTCTCGCGTCTCAGGTGGTTTTTAATCAGTTTAGATAGATAGAATCGTATTTCAGGGATATTTCGGTGCCCGTTCATTTTTACCGGCTATTTTGGTGCGCTCTCGCGGTGTTATGTGTCGTTCGGTGCTTATTTTGTTCCTCTGAGAATTATCGTGATTTTTCGGTATTTTATTGACCATTTTTAGGGTTTAAATAGCTTTTAAATCATTTTTAGGATTTAATAGAATTTTTAATAGTCTTAATTCTTTTTAAATAGATTTAAATCATTTTTTAGCATTTTATAGAATATTAATAGGTTTTAATATTTTTAATAGTTTTTAGAATTTTAAATGAAATAAATAAATAGTATTTTTCATTTTTAGAATATTAGATATTAAATAGATTTTTACTATTTTAAATAGACTTTTCTTTTATAGAATTTAAATAGATTTTATCATTTTAATAGGATAACGTAGATTGTCTTTTAGAAATATAGTTTTTAATAGTTTTATTAGAATAATAGATTTTCTTTTATAATAAATTTTAGATTTAATAGAGATTTATTAATTTTTAGATTAGTGGATTTATTAGAGTATTATTAGTTTAGCAATTAATTGAGTTTAGTTTAGTTAATTAGGTTTAGGTTAAATTGGGCTGATCTGTTTTATGTAGTTTTTTTGAGTTTTTGTTGGCAGTTTTCGTATTGGGCCAGTATCCATGAGTCTTCAGCAAGCCCATTTCGCATCAGTCCAGAAAAGTCTAGTTACTGCCAGCAAAATCCAGAAGCACCCAGAACAAAGCCAGTATAAATGCCAGCAGCGCCACGTGTATGAGGGGGAGGACCCCACGCTGCACATCAGACACACGCCACGCACTCTCAGCTTCCTTCTCTCACTGCCATGCCATGGCCACGTGGCGCACATGCGTCTCCCTCCTCCACTATCCCCGGCCACGCGTCCCTCCACCAGTGCACCACCGGTCCTCACCGGGAAGCTTCACCGGCCGGCATGCATGGCCGGCGACCGCCGTGAAGTTCACCGGAATCACCAAAAAGTCCCAGATTCCGATCACAATCTTCATCTTCCTCCTCTCATCTTCATCAGCTCAAACCCAGAAATTCATCTCACCTCTAATCTGTTCATCTTCTCCGATCAACACGTACCTTCCACCTTCATCCATTCATCTTCCACAATCAACAAAATCCGGAAACGATCATCATCAGCATAGATCTTCATCCAACCGTTCGCCAAGAACCACTTCCCAGAAACTGCTTCATCATCATCATCACGTTCAAGAACAGATCTCCAGGAAGAATGCTCATCAGCGAAGAACGCTCAAGAACACCTTCGAGTGTTCACTCCAGATCTCCAAAAATTCAACTCATCAAGAATCTGCAACCACTCTCAACGATCATCAACACAAAAGCCAGATCCCAAATCAACCTTCAAGGGTTCTTACGAATCTCCGTCCGTTTCCAGAGATTTCTTCAACGGTGTTCATCGGAAGATCCCTCATCTTCAACTTTCCAGAAAACCCTCAAGCATTTCATTCTTCAACTTCTCCCTCAAGAACTCCATTAGAACCTTCAAGGATCTTCAGCAACGACAACTTCATTGCCCTTCCAGAATTCGTTCGTGTCTTCTGAGGCAAGGTTGAGCAGTGTAAGCATTGGAGGAAAGTGATTGGAGTATTGTTGAACAAGGCTGAGTTAGGCAAAGGATTTTTGTTTGAGGGATTACCGGAGGGAGATGAGGGTGAAGAGGGTGGTGACGGCGCAGGGAGAGTGAGAAGATACTAGGGTTTCAGAATGGGGAGAGGAGGCTGGATTGGGCCTAGGGCCACGAGGCCCAGCGGTTTTTTTCATCCCTCCGTTTTTTGGCTGAAAGACATTGGGCTGAGCCCAATACAAGTTGTGATTCCCCCCAGTTCACTCAGCACACCCCCCTCCGTGTTTTTTTTGAAGAGACCTGGGCTGGGCCCAATTCATTTGTGTTTTTTATTTGTTTTGCTTGTATCACTCCCCTTTGTAACTGTTACCCCCCCTTTTTGTATTTTTGTTTTCTTATTTTCTTTGTTGAGAAAAATAAAAGAAAAGAAATATTATGGAAAAATAATAGAAAAAGAAAATATTTTGAGAGAAAAGAAATATAAAAAATAAGGAGAATAGTAAAAGAAAAAGAGAAAAAAGTATATTGAAAAAGGTAGAAAAAATAGTGAAAAAATATATTGAAAAAAATAGTAAAAGAAAAAGAGAAAAAAGGATATTTGAAAAAGATAGAAAAAATATATGAAAAATATTTTGAGAGAAAGGAGAAAATAGTTGAAAAGAAAAGAGGGAAAAAGAGAAAAAATATTAGTATAGACTTAATATTTTTTAGAGTGCATTTTCTTTTAGGATATATTTTCATAGAAATTATTTTACGGTTTTAGGGATAGTTTAGAAGTCCACTTGTTAGGGGGCTATTTTCCATTCGATTTTTCAGAATAGGATAGGATAGTATTTCCTAGGAGATTTATTTTCAGTATTCAACCATTGTAATCATTTTCAGAATGTTAATAAAACGAGATTTGAGCTGTGGTCCCGAAGTAGCCGAACTACAGCTGCTCTGATTCCTCGTACCAGACGAGGATATAGAGGCATAGGATGCGATATCCTAGCGAGCACACTAACAACTAACCTTTTGTTCTCTCGCTGCTGTGCGATCGAGACTTTCCCGCTGACGATTAATTGTAACCCTTTTTCTCTCTTGCCCGAGTGCACTTGAGACCAAACCATAGTTTTGCCCATAGGTTCCCGACCTTTGCAACCAGTTGTTTTTTCTCACTGCTGTGTGAGAATCCCTGTTTATCCGTAGTTAGCCTGAACTGTGTAAAGCTCTGATCTTCCCTGCAGTGTGGAAGTACGTAGGCACAAGACGCGAGGTCTTGGCGAGCAATTCTCCCTGTAGTCCCGAACTACGTTGACTCTGACTTTCTCTCTCGAGAATACGTAGGCATAGAGTGCGACGCTCTATCGAGTCAATTCCCTTCCGTTTAGATTTAGCAGCCGTAGATAGATTGTTTTGCATCCTTTAGACAACCCAAGCAAGCGTGGATCCCGTCGAGTACGATGGACGTGAGGGGTGCTAATACCTTCCCCTTGCGTAACCGACTCCCGAACCCAGGTTTTGGTTGCGACGACCATACCTTTCCCCGTTTTTTGCGAGGTTTACTTCGAGCGTTTCCTTACAGGCTGTATACATTTTTGCGAAGTTTACTTCAATCTCGTTTCATTTTGTATTTAGTTTGAGTCAATCAACCGTTTGAAACAGCTGAGTGGAAAAATGTATACAGATAAATCAGAAATTGTCCAAAGTGAATGCATATATGATGTAGCAAACTTGGCTTTTCTTATAAACCAAAGAGTAAAGTGGGAGTGGCCAATTTGATTTTATGTTTCTTTACTTGTACTCGAGAACATCCAAGACCATAAAGTTCTTAAGTTCTTGGCACATGGTAAAGAAATTAAGAAAACACACTAAACAAATTTAAAGTCCTCACAAGTCACAATCAATATTAACTTGTGAATAATAAAAATAATAGTATTAATTAATTAGAATTGAAGTATGATAAAAAAAAAAAACTAAAATACCTAAATACACTTGAATAAAATAGTAAAAGATGTCTTCTCTTTTAACTAGAAATTTTGTATTAGAATATATTTAGATATATGCAATAACTTTAAACTTTCTTGATTCGATTAATTAGTTTTTGCAGTTATTCGTATAAATATTTAATTCATACTTAAAAAGATTAAAAAAACTAAAATTGTATTTAAATTTTATAAAAAAAAGTCCTATATTTTAAAGTAAAATATAATGAATCATTTAGTGTGGAACTACTATTATATTGTCATTTTATCAATTGCCATTTCAAAAGTAATAATTTATTCTACCAAATGATGATAACAAAAAAGTCTTAGTTTCCTGTTATGAATCATTGATTATTTAGATTAAACTTCTATATTTTATTCTATTATAAATACCATTAGCCATCTTTTGTGAGAAAAATTAAGGACGGAGAGTAGAACCATGGAAGAGAAAAAGAATTTCTCTGGTACTTCTCTTCTTGTACCATCAGTTCAAGAGTTGGCCAAGGAGAATATTTCAGCAGTTCCACCAAGATATGTTCAATCTCAACTTGAAGAATTGGTCATCAATGAAAGTGATAGTATCCTTGAAATTCCAGTTATTGATATGGACAAATTGCTTTCTTTAGAATTTGGGAGTCAAGAATTGGCTAAGCTTCACCTTGCTTGCAAAGATTGGGGATTCTTCCAGGTCACTTTTCTATCTTTATGAATTTCACTTATGTCAACTTGCAAAACTGTATTGATTTATGTGTTGTTAATTCTTAATTATTGTAGCTGGTAAATCATGGTGTTGGTTCATCATTGGTGGAGAAAGTAAAGTCGGAGATGCAAGATTTTTTCAACCTTCCAATGTTAGAGAAGAAGAAGTTTTGGCAAACTGAACAGCATATGGAGGGATTTGGACATCTTTTATCACAACAATCTTTACAACTTAGTTTAGAGTCTCCGCACTCTATGTAGGTGTCTCGCCGCAGACATTTACTGTCCCTTTGGAACTTTGACCACAGTCAAGAGTTTCTCACCCCTAGTAAGGGGAAATACGAACGCTCTAATTTCTCAAAGTCTCTTTTGAGAATATGTAGGCACAAGGCCCCGATCCTTGGCGAGCAACCTTCTCTTTTTCCTTCGTTTCAACCTTTATCTTTACCTTAGCACTTTTCCCTTAGTAAGCAAACTTTAACAAACACAAATATTAACAAGAGGTTCCTGTAGAGTACTACAGATGTTTAGGATGTGAAATACTTACCCTATGCATAACCAACCCCCGAACCTTTAAATCTCTTTTTGCTTAGCTTTAGGCCTTGCCTTTTGCTTTGCATTTTTATAGGTTTTTCTTTCTTTAAACCTTTCCTTTTGGATAAATTAAAGTCCGGTTGTGAATTTAAGAATTAAGATTCAAGTTAATCAATAGCTTGGTATCACGATTCTCACCGCAACACCCTAGCTTGTTAAAGCCTAGTGTGCAAAGTTCTCTCTGGTTCTGCGTCAAAATTAAAATCAGTTGAGGGCTTCCCTCGCATACAAAGATTAGTCAAAGATTAATAATAACCAAAAATGGCCACAAGATAAAAATAAATTTAAAATTTAAAATAAAATTTTAGCTGCAGAGCAACAAAATTTTAATTGAATTAGACCCCTGAACTTTATTATCTTTGGCACTCCACGGCAATGGCGCCAAAAACTTAATTGGTAAAACAACAAGTGTACTATTTTGCCTTTGTAGTAATAAGGGATAAAGTCCAAAATGTCGATATGAAGGACTGCTTGAGGATACAGATTTCTAAGTTAAGTTCAATTAAACAAAAGCTTGGGGTTTTGTGATTGTTTGTTAAAATTATTAGGAATAAGAGCGAATAGAGTAAATAAAGTATGTGAACAATTTAACAGACACTACTAGAAAAACTCTGTTTTTATGCAGATTTAGCTGCGGATTTTGACAAAATTTCCGCAAGAAACGTGTTACATGCGATTCTTCCTGCTATTTTCTGTTTCCAGCTAAAACCTTCATGGATAATTAATTTAGCAGGTAAAGTCGCAGGAAATATCGCAGGAAAATGTCACAGAATATATTATTATAAATCCAAAATCGCAGGTAAAGTCTCAGGAATTTCTGCGAACTTTGTTGCTACCTCCGTTTTTGCAGGAAATAATGCTTCACAATATAAATTCACTGGTAAAACCGCAGGTACTTCTGTGGATAAATTTTCACAGGAAAATCCGCAGGTAATTCCTGTATTTCTATGAGTGAGATATGAATAGTATGCTAGGGAAAGTGTATGATTCAATCATGTAATGATTCTGAAACCAAAGTGCAAAGCATATTCTTTATGATAGATACCAGTTCTTAAGGTTGTAACTTCCAAGCCCTTAGAGAGAAAATCTTCGACTAATCAACCTAATTACTATGTCCATAGAGAGTCACGATTGAAATCAAGCATTATTATAACAAGAATTTATCCGGTTACTGTAAGGTATCCCTAGTCCTTGGTGATATCTATTATAATATGCTTTCAAAAAAATCATGAACAGTGGCGGTCCAACCTAATTGTTTCACATAAATCAAAATCTATTTGTCCGATAGATAAAGCACTAAGAACTGTTAAGAAAACAATTCTCATATACGAAAATAGCATTGTCATTGCACTAATAAAATTGAACCCATTACAATCAAAATCAGGGACACCCCTAGCATTGGGGCGTTTAGCCTCTCATAATGTTCATTAAAAACAAAACATAAAGATTAGACATTACAAGAATTATGATGAAATTTGATCTTCAATCGCTTCCGTTCATGAAAATCCCTTTTGCACTAAAGCTTCTGAAACTTTTCTTTTCTCTAATATTTTCACGTACAAGAAGAAAAATTCCACAAAACTTAGAAAAACTCCTACAAATAGACTAGATTTCCTCTGAAAAATATCCAGATGACAATTAATTTCAAAATCTTCTCCGATAAAGGAAAGACTTCAAAATACACGCTTGCCTGCTATGACCCAAAGTAGGTGCTACGGGTGGCCGTACCAGGCCACTGGACTAGCTGGAATCAAAAATGTGTTAAGGGCTCTGGTTGCTACGGCCATAGCAGGTGCTATGGGTGGTCGTAGTAGACAATTGTCTCCATCTCTCTTTCATCAAAAACTAGGGAGTTGGGCTTCTCTTCTGCTCGGCCTGTAACACACACTACGGGTGGCTGTAGCAGATCATTGGTCTTTGGCTTTTCTTCTCGATTCTTCACGATTTTTTCCGACATTCTTCTTGAACACTTATTCAACCTGAAATAAGTAAACAAACACAACCAAAGCATAAAATTCGGAAAATGAAAACATATATATGAAAAACAGTAAACAAATTGGACAAACTTAACGGTGCAAAAACCCACTTATTAGTTGGATTGCTAATAAATATACTCATCTTACTAACTATAAATGCTATGTTAGGTCTGATACATTGCATTAAATACATTATACATCCAATTGCACTTGTACATTCCAATTGGGCCACAATTCTTTCATTGTTCTTTTGAAGTTTGACACTAGGATCAAATGGAGTTATAACTTCCTTAAAGCATAGGTGTTTGAGTTTATCCAACATTTTATCAATTTAAAATGTTTGATTAAGTTCATAACCCCCACTATTTTATTTTACTTTGATCCCAGAAATAGTGTCAACTAGCCCAAGATCTTTCATCTAGAATGAGGAAGTTAAACATCTCTTTGTTTCTAAGATTACATTCATCCCGTTGCTAATGATCAACATATCCTCAACATATAGACACATGAATATTACAATATTTCCACACACCTTTGTGTACAAGCATTTGTCACAAGAATTTAGAGTAAACACATTTGAAAGTATGACAAAGTCAAACTTTTGATGCCATTATTTTGGTGTCTATTTCAAATCGAATAGGGATTTAACAAGTTTTCATACCTTTTGTTCAATTCCAGGAAGCACGTAGTCTTCTGGTTGCTCCATGTAGATTTCTTCATCAAGATCTTCATTTTGGAATGATGTTTTACCATCCATTTTATGAACAATAAGGTTATTCAAGGAAGATAATGCAAATAATACTCTAATTATCGTAATTCTTTCTACTAGTGCATATGTGTCAAAGTAATCGACACCTTCCTTTTGTCTAAACCCTTTTGCTACTAATTTAGCCTTGTAGGTGTTTAATGTACCATCATTATGATAATTGTTTTTCTAAACACCCATTTGTATCCAATGGATTTTGATCCCTTGGGAAGATCGACAAGATCTCAAGTTTGGTTTGACATAATTGAGTCCATTTCGTCTTGGATATCTTCTCTTAAAAAGGAAGAGTCCATTGACGCTACTGCTTCTTTATAGGTTTTAGGATCATCCTCCACTTGAAGAATAATAAGAATACTATAAACATTATTCTTAAAAGAAAATAAGTTGAGAATCAATTTCATTTGGTCCTAGATCCTTAGCTTTTCAGGCGCTTTTGCTTATCCAAGGCTCGAGTTGTGTTTCAACAATGCGGGAAGAATTTTTATTATGAGATTCTTCATTCATGGGTGAAGATGAGAAAAATACACAAGGAAGGGGCGAATTGAGTTGTGTAAGTTAATTTTGTTTCACTTTTGAATATCAACTTCATAATCTGAACAACTTTAAAGTCTGATCTCAGAGTTAATAGAAACAGAAAGAATAGAATTCAGAAACAATGGATAAAACAACTCACAGAGTTTATCTTGATTCCTCTCCTAAAATGAGAGTAATTCAGTCTCCTTGTACAACAAGAGATTTTCACTATAATCAAACTGATACATTTTGCTCAAGCAAACTAGCAAGAGACTTGAACTGCTCAATCACAATAGAAAGAGACTTCTGCTCAAGCACTCAGGCAAGAGACTACCACTGCTCAAACTAACTAGTAAGAGACTTCCTATACTTTAATCAAATAGTTTAGTAGAAAAGATAAAAAAAAACCATACTTGATGCTCAATCAAAAATATAGAAGTTGTAAAACAACCAAAAAGGTTATTAAAACATAAGATTTCTAAGATATACAAAGATACGAAATCTTAAGAACTTATGCAATAACAATTATATAAAACTTTAGCTCAAAGTTATGCTCGATGTTGTTCTGTTGTAATGTTGTAACCTTCTTTCAAATCTTCAACTCCCTTTTATAGAGGTAGAAAAAGAGTCGTTGGAAGGTGACTTGCATAAGTGTTCTTAGTTGAGAAGAATTTCTAGAAAGATGTTGGAGGATGTATTTGGTTAAGATTATTTTCCTTTGAGTAATATCATTGTCCATAATATCTTTCTTATACTAGGTATTCACCAAAAGGTTGGGGCAAATTTAAGAGGCCACATCACCATTCCTTGAGTCTTGCGTAATGAAACCCTAGTTGACTTTTTTCCATAATCCAGCATTTGACAAGACTGACCTTCTTTTGAGACAAAATACGAACTAGAAGCTGAGCACCTTTAGCTGAGGTCTTCATAGTCTGAGCTTTGACTAGAGGCTGGTATAACATGATTAGATTCTGGTCCTTCAGAAGCTGATAAATCTCGTTCAAAGTCATCAGATTCTGACCTTTCAGAATCTTAGTCTTTTAGCTTTTCTACATAAGCTTTCAACAAAGTCAATTTTGAGTTGAATTTTAAGCTTATGATCTGCACACTTGAACAAATATTAGTATACCTAATTGTTCTTTAAGTACTTTCACTACAACATTTTTACTCTATAGCAACGCCTAATTTTCAGGAAGTAAAAAAATTGTTCTCATAGAGAGTAATAGGCAACTAATTATATAATTTGTTGAGGTAGCTTATATAATTTTTTGTAAATTTTATACAACGGTGCAAAACCGTTCTTGTAGAGAAGAAGAAGAAAAAGGTGTCAAGAAAAATCGTATGTTTTAACTCTGATGAAAATGAGGAGGAGCCAGATATATGATGGGAGACAAACTTCAATGCAGGAGAATATTATGATGATTTAGATAAACAGGTATAAATCAATCCTCTTGTATTCTTTCCACCTTGTTCTGCCCACGATCTTGACCCCAATTCATATATAGACTGTGACCTTAAGTTCCTTCCTCTACACTTGTTTTCTTTTATGAATGAGATAAAAGGGTAGCAGTAGTTACATCAAGACTGTTAGTATCTTTCCCATAGGTAAGAGAACTAGTTATTAAGTATTTATAAGAGCTTGGTAATGAACACTACAAGATAATTGCCTTATCTTCGTCATAAATCTTACTACAAGTCTCACCCGATCAATGATTATGGTGTTGCAAATTGAATCCTTAGTGCAAAATTAGAAATTAAACTCTATTAATTTGTTGAATGAATGAATTTTCATTTACCATCAACTAAAAAAAATCCAAGCGGTCGCATTGATAATTTGATATTAAGAAACTCAACCGTTTGAAACAGCTGAGTGGAAAAATGTATACAGATAAATCAGAAATTGTCCAAAGTGAATGCATATATGATGTAGCAAACTTGGCTTTTCTTATAAACCAAAGAGTAAAGTGGGAGTGGCCAATTTGATTTTATGTTTCTTTACTTGTACTCGAGAACATCCAAGACCATAAAGTTCTTAAGTTCTTGGCACATGGTAAAGAAATTAAGAAAACACACTAAACAAATTTAAAGTCCTCACAAGTCACAATCAATATTAACTTGTGAATAATAAAAATAATACTATTAATTAATTAGAATTGAAGTATGATAAAAGAAAAAAAACTAAAATACCTAAAAACACTTGAATAAAATAGTAAAAGATGTCTTCTCTTTTAACTAGAAATTTTGTATTAGAATATATTTAGATATATGCAATAACTTTAAACTTTCTTGATTCGATTAATTAGTTTTTGCAGTTATTCGTATAAATATTTAATTCATACTTAAAAAGATTAAAAAAACTAAAATTGTATTTAAATTTTATAAAAAAAGTCCTATATTTTAAAGTAAAATATAATGAATCATTTAGTGTGGAACTACTATCATATTGTCATTTTATCAATTGCCATTTCAAAAGTAATAATTTATTCTACCAAATGATGATAACAAAAAAGTCTTAGTTTCCTGTTATGAATCATTGATTATTTAGATTAAACTTCTATATTTTATTCTATTATAAATACCATTAGCCATCTTTTGTGAGAAAAATTAAGGACGGAGAGTAGAACCATGGAAGAGAAAAAGAATTTCTCTGGTACTTCTCTTCTTGTACCATCAGTTCAAGAGTTGGCCAAGGAGAATATTTCAGCAGTTCCACCAAGATATGTTCAATCTCAACTTGAAGAATTGGTCATCAATGAAAGTGATAGTATCCTTGAAATTCCAGTTATTGATATGGACAAATTGCTTTCTTTAGAATTTGGGAGTCAAGAATTGGCTAAGCTTCACCTTGCTTGCAAAGATTGGGGATTCTTCCAGGTCACTTTTCTATCTTTATGAATTTCACTTATGTCAACTTGCAAAACTGTATTTATTTATGTGTTGTTAATTCTTAATTATTGTAGCTGGTAAATCATGGTGTTGATTCATCATTGGTGGAGAAAGTAAAGTCGGAGATGCAAGATTTTTTCAACCTTCCAATGTTAGAGAAGAAGAAGTTTTGGCAAACTGAACAGCATATGGAGGGATTTGGACAAGCATTTGTTGTGACTGAAGAACAAAAGCTTGATTGGGCTGATATGTTTTTTATGAGCACACTTCCTAAACACTCTAGAATGCCTCACTTATTTCCACAACTTCCACTTCCTATCAGGTTATTACTCTCTCTCTCTCTCTCTCTCTCTCTCTCTCTCTCTCTCTCAAAATTGAACTCATTACGACTAAGTTTACGATATTATCCTTGAACCGTACCATGGGGACTCGCCCTTGTATCCGCAATCACTTACCTACAACAAATAGTTGGACCTAAGATAAGTTTGGGTCAAATGCAAGAGCAGATTCTCCTCACTCCTATATCCCTTTAGTGTCTACGTATATATGAGTCATACTTAATACTTATCTATAAATTCCATATCTTATTTGATGTGTTGTCAACGAGATATTTTTGTTGATGTTTTCATGACTATGTTCTTACTATATGATCCATATTCAATAATCTATATATTGAGAATATCAAACTCATATAAAGATTTTTTTGTGTGGCGATCACACCTTGAAAATTAGGAGCTACACCTCCTGCTTAACATCAATAAACATGAAACAATTCCAAATAATGCTTGCACTGGTCACTAATGACTGGCTTGGTCAACATGTGAGTTACATTATCTGAATTATGAACATTTTCAAGTAACATCTATCTAAATGTAAGTAACTCTCTAATTTTTTGAGACCTCACATTAATATGCCAATAAATGGAACTTTGACTCTTACAACAGAACAGGACTTTACCTTGCTCAACACTCAATTCTCTCACCAATCTTGTATATAATAAGGCTTTAGTGCCAGCTTTAATTCATAATATGTTGAGCTAGCTTAGTTGCACTTGAAGTCACCATCATTTTATTCATCTTGTAACGGTAATCACAGCTAAATATCTTGTAAATGTTGTAATTGGTATGTTCTTATCATACGACTCATACTCAATACTTACACAACTCAACCTACAAAGTAAGATGGTTTCTCAATTATATACACATTTAATTTCTCCAGAACTTAAATTATAATTGTATAGGAAATGACTCAATACATTTTAGAAAATATAACTTTAGTTACATTTTAGAATTTTGTTTAGACCCAAATAGAACATATATATAAAAATTGATTGTAAGGTGTAGAATATCTTCTACTTTTACATTTTTTTTAAAGTCATATCTCATAAAATGCTAGACTTAGCTGTTTTTACATTTTGCTATAGTGGAAAATCTTTACTAGTAGAAAGAACTTGAGTACTTAATCTATGTTATATGTCATGTAGAGATACTTTTGAACTTTACTCCATAGAAATGAAAAAGCTGTCTATGACCATTGTTGAATGTATGGGAAAAGCTTTGAAAATGGATGAAAAAGAAACGAATACTATATTTGAAGATGGGATACAATCGATGAGAATAAACTACTACCCTCCATGTCCTCAACCAGAAAAGGTTATTGGGCTAACACCACATTCAGATGCATCAGGAATCACAATCCTCTTACAACTCAATGATGTACAAGGGCTCCAAGTAAGAAAAGATGGCGTGTGGGTCCCAGTTAAACCCCTCCCTAATGCCTTCATTGTCAATATTGGAGACATTCTTGAGGTAAAAATGTTCCTTTTTAGTACAACTCTAGGGTTGTTTATTTTTATATTTTACTTATATGTTTTTGCTGGCAGATTGTGACTAATGGGATATATAGAAGTATTGAACATCGAGCAATTGTGAACTCTGCAAAAGAAAGACTGTCAATTGCAACATTTTGTATAACAAGACACAATGGAGAGGTGGGTCCAGCAACAAGCTTCATCACTGAAGAAACACCAGCACGATTCAAAAGAGTTGGATTAGAAGAATACTTGAAGAATGTTTTTCTTCGTAAACTTGATGGCAAGTCTTACCTAGATGCTATGAGGACATAACATCTCTAAATCAAGTGATTCAAATTGGTGTACTATCATACTTTTATATGTCAATGTGTGTCTTGATAATACTGTCACATGAGGATGAACGGTTGTTGTTTTTCTTATATAACTTATTTAATAATGTTTCTTCAATAATATTTCTGGCTTTTCTTCGCATCATGAATTTTAAATTATTCCAAATAAATGTAATCATTGGGTTCTTAAATATTTGAAAGTGTATGTTGATATAATATTTTAAACATTGTGTTCTAATAGAGGAAAGCAAATAATTGCATCTCGTCATGATATAATATTTAGTGTATGCCCTAGATTAAATGATGTCAATGAAATTCTTATTGATGAACATGAGACTCTTGTTATAAAAAAAAAATTAAATCAATTCGAGAGAAATAATGTTTGCAAACTATGTCTCAAGTTTACGAATAATCTAAAGATTTGAGCCAAATGAATATTTCTCAACAAACTTGTTGAAAAGGACATTGTTTTAAGAATGATAGGAAGGCTTCTTGCGAAAAGATACAATTAACATGAAGACTTACACTACAAGAAACATTGCATTTTCCCAAAGGATTTTCACGTCATTAACCCAAAAATCGCTTCACTGGGCAACATTTGCGACGTGGGTAAAATACGTCGGAAATGCAATGGTGGGAACATTTTCCCACGTGGAAAACAGGTCACAAAGTTGTGACATAGATCCCACGTCGCAAATAACAAAAATAAGAGAAAAAGTTCTCACATGAATATCACGTCATTAATTAGTGACTTGGTTTTCACGTGGGAGCCCACCAAATTATTTTCCATGTGATTCCCACGTCACTAATTTGTGACTTGGTTTTCACGTGAGAACCCACCTTTACCAATATGGTTTTGCACGTTATTTCTGGCACTAATTAAATTGTTTCCCATGTGATTCTCACATCACTAATTAGTGACGTGATATGCATGCCACAATAAAAATATGTTTTATATTAGTGACATGGTTTGCACTTCACTATAAAATTTAATAATAATAAATATTAACTGAAAACAACTATAAAATTAAAATAAATATTATATATTAACTATAAAATTTAAAAATTAAAATAATATACATTAAAAAAATATAAATATTTAGTCACATGAAATTCACGTCACAAATATAAAAAAATAAAAAAAAAAGTTGTCACGTAATATTCACGTCACAAATATAAACAATAATAAAAAAAAGTTGTCGCGTAATATTCACGTCACAAATATAAACAATAATAAAAAAAAAAGTTATTCTTCGTCAGTGAATTGTGCATCTTCGTCTTCTTTATCATCTTGGACAGAATAATCTGATTTCGAGGCAAAAAAACTTTCGCATTTGTGCCTCCATGTCTGATTGTCGCTTCCTTATTTCCTATATTTCAACATTTTGTCTATTTCTCATATTCTCCATTTCGTCCTTTAAGGCCGCCTTGCGTGCCTCCGCCTCTCGTCTCGCCTCAGATAGAGCTAACTGTCTCACACTTGCCAATATTTCTGGTGTCAGTTCTGCCGGGCGAGATCATCCTTCCCCACCATCGAGTCTTTGAAATAAAGTTCGGTCCCCTTTTCTATAATCGCCAGCCAAAGACCTCAGCCCAAAAAAAAAAACATTCATTGACTCCCTTCCCGCCTACTGTTAAATTCCAAATATAAAGATCCACGCGTGGATCAAGCGGTGCATTCCCAATCAGCACATATTGAGGATTTTCAGTTAGAAATTGGGCAAGCAAGGTCTGGTACATCTCTTACACACACATTAAAAAAATTAAATTAAATTAAATTAAGTATAATTTAAACAATTTAATTATATACAGTAATTATGAAATTAAAAGAATTCAACTATAATAAACAAGTTATCAATGTTGATTTGGAACGACCGTCAACAAACTCCCCCGATTTTTTGGTTAGGATCTTAACAAATAGCTCATTAATTCGTGGCTCCCTCCCCAAATCCTTTTTCTAATTAAAATAATGAAGTTTAATTAAATATATAATAATACAAAATAAAACTTAAAAAAATAGTTATAATTACCATTCGTCGGCAATGTTCGCCGATACTGATACTTCCAACTATACTAAGACAGCCACCTGCTTCAGATGCCCTCATCTTTTTAGCATGTTCAGATCTTCTTTGAAAATCTTCTGTCTTCCACCACTCAATAAGTTCCCTAAATATTTCCTCGCCTATCCAGTTAGGACGAGTTTGATCTCTGCCCCAACGTTGTCTAGCATTCCTGAGCATGTCAGATAATCTGCTAGATACCTTACTTCTGAAAAAAAAATTAATTTTGAACTCGTCAAAATTTTGCCAAGTACACCTTTCCTGCAAGTTATATGACAGTCAAATAAAATGTTAGATATATATAACAAAAAATAGTTATAAAATAACATAACTATAATAAAAATACAATTTACCTTGAATTTATCAAACCATACATCTTTCTCACTATCTGGGAGCTCTCCGAAAGACTTAATGAGTTTTGTATACATCACTTGAATGACCCAGTTTACAGCTTTTGCAGCAGGCCGACACAGATCAAAACTAAACAATAATAATTTGAACGAGTATTAAACATAAAATGGAAATATATAGCTAAATAAATCTTATACATTAAAAACATACCCAGATCCCTCAGGCATAATCAGATGTCGTCCTTCAACCACCAAAAGCTCCTTTGCAACAGGATTTGTCTGCTCCTCATGAACATCGTCATCCTCCTGAATAGTGTGGTCATCCTGCTGCTGACGCGCAGGTATATGTGTGGGGTGTGGAATGCGGAAGCCAAATCCCTCTGGCTGGTGCGTGGAGGGAGTCGGCTGAGGAAAACTAGACCCTGAAGGCTGCAGCGTGAAGGAATACTGCTGAGGAAGAAAACTAGCTCCCCCAGGAAAACTAGAACCCCCAGACTGCTGCATAAACGTATATGGTACATAGGGAAAATTAGATCCCCCAAGCGGATGCATGAAGGATCCCCCAAACGGACTAATAAACGATGGATTCCCAGATGGAACCGTTTGGGAGGAGGAGAGTAATGTCGTAAATGGCTGTGAAGTGTCTAAGGACATTAGATCTGCCTGAGTCTGTGGGCGAGAAGCATACATGGGCGAGGGAGGTACCTCACGTACTCTGGCTCTCGAATGGGGATGGGTCTCCTTAACCTTACCCTTGTCAGTTCAGGGTGGCATTGTATCTATTTGAAAGAGTTATCAATAAATAAATAATACGTAAATAAATCAAGACTATTATCAACACAATATACATACGTAAAAATCATTTGCATTCATATAAAACAATTAATACATTAATAAAAAAAAATTGAACACATATAAAAACTATCTATTGAAACTCTTCATGCTCTTCGTCCATATTATTTTCATCATCTGATCTAATAATGTCCTCAGATCCAAACTCTTCATGCTCTTCGTCCATATTATTATCTACCAACAACACAGATGCATCAATTTGATGTCAGCACACCTTTCCAAATTTGATGCATAACCATCAGGCATTCTCAATTCATTTAACCATCGACAAATTGCTTTAGCATCTTGGGAAGTTAGACTGTAACATGCCTTAGGTTTTAATAATTTTCCATTAGGCCGAGGCTTCAACTCCAACTCTTTTCTATCACACAAAATTTCTATGTCCCTTCTAGCCTTCTCATTATCCTTTGGTTTGCCTTGAACATCCATCACTGTGTTAAATATATTATCGAAGAAATTCTTTTCAATATGCATAACATCAAGATTATGTCGCAATAAATTATCTTTCCAATATGGGAGGTCCCAAAATATACTTCTTTTTGTCCAATTGTGTTTGACCCCATATCTTTCAATTCTACATGCTTCACCATAATCTGTAAATTTTGGCAGTTCAGAAACTTGATTCCATATTTCCTCTGGTGACAATCGCAGAGGAGGAAAATCTTTTACTCGTACATCTTTTTTGAAATTAGTCTTGCTTCTTCAAAATACATGGTCTCGTGGTAGGAATCTGCGGTGACAGTCAAACCACGAACTTTTCCCTCCATATTCCAAAGTAAAAGCCTTTGTAAATTCCATGCAATGTGGACATCCCATTTTTCCATGCGTACTCCAACCAGATAACATTCCATAAGCGGGAAAGTCATTAATAGTCCACATCAAGGCAGCTCGCAAAGTAAAGTTTTGTTTGCGAGATATATCATAGGTCCATTCTCCAATCCACAACCTCTTCAAATCATCTATTAAAGGTTGTAATTAAACGTTGATTCCGGATTTAGGACTTGACGATCCTGGAATGAGGCAAGTCAAAAACATGTATGGTTTTGTCATGCACATCTCTGGAGGGAGGTTGTAAGGGGTTACGATAACTGGCCAACGGGTATATGTAATTGCAGATGCTTGAACGTGTGGAGTAAAACCATCAGAGCATAGTCTGAGCCTGACATTTCTAGGTTCTGCAGCAAAATCAGAATGTACCCTATCAAAATGTTTCCATGCCTCACCATCAGATGGATGTCGCATAATGCTTGAACATGTTTTGTTTGTATAATGCCATGTCATTTGACTTGCACTATGCATTGAAGCAAACAATCTTTTTAACCTTGGTATTATCGGCAAATAAAACATGGACTTCACTGCTACACGTTTTTGTTTACGGTTAATGCTTTACTACGAACTTGATATCTCGGACTCTTACAGAACTTACATTCCTCCAGCGCCTCATCATTAATACCAAACTCATTATCATAAAACAACATCTATCCATTTATGGAACAATCAATCTTTCGTACTTCTAAACCCAACTTCGACACCAACCTCTTTGCATCATGATAATTTGTAGGCAAGTTGTCTTTCGTAGGAGTCGCATCCAACATCATTTTTGCAAAGTATTCTAAACACTGATCAGGAACATTCCAATTTGACTTTGCAGCCAATAATCTCACACACATTGATAATTTTGAATCTGTCGACCCCTCAAACAACGGTGTATTCATTTCTTT